GGCCCCCCCGGCCTGCCGCTGCCCGCAGGCTTGGGCAGCCCCGCACGGCACCATGCTGCTCCACAGCCCGGGCTGCAGAGCTGCAGGGAACCAAAACCCTGGTGGGCAGGGAAACCTGGAGCTGCAGCCGCATCACCTCCTCGGTGTGCCCGGGGTCCCCGCCCCAGCCGCCTCCCACGCCGCTCTAATGTGCTGTCCCCTTCCCTCCCTCCCAGAGCTCCTCGGATCGGCAAAGAAAGTCAACGTCAACTTTCAAGACACCGACGGGTGAGTGAGGCACCCCTCGCGGGGCAGGACGGAATGCATGTGCTGTGGGGTGCACAAAAAAGGGCGTGTGTGCCGTGGGGTGCCGTGAGCAGGGGGGTGCGTGCCCGTTGGTGCGTGCAGCACAGGGTGCAGTGAGCAGGAGTCCCCTGTGTGTGTCTGGGTATGCTGGGCTCTCTGGAGCGTTGCAGTTGAGCTGCTGGCATCCAGACGGGCAAGGGCTCTCGCCCCCATTAGCCAGCGTGGCGGAGCCCTGCCTGCAGCCCTGAGCCGGAGGGCTTGCACATAGCAGCCGTGGGCATCAGAGGAGGCGAGGGCTAAAAGGCAGAGGAAGAGCTGTGCCCCATGTCTTGCTGGCCTTTTCCCAGCTCTCGCCGCAGGCTTGGGGCTCTCTGGTTGCTGTGTGGGGAGCAGCCCCATGGGGTGAGCCATGACCTGGGTGAGCCGTGACCCCGTTGCGCTGTGCTGCCGGTGCGCTGCTTCACAGCTGGCATCCCAGGTGGGGAGGAGAGGGGAAGGAGGCCGCAGGCTCACCCCTGTTAATCACACTAATGAGGCACCCCCGCCGAGGAGGGGGCGATGTGATGCTTCCAGGCTGGGCAGCAGCCGCCCCTCTGCCCCCAGCTCCCCCTGCCCTGCGCCCTCTGCCTTGAGCGGGGCAGCAGCACATGGGGCAGGCGATGCTGCGTGGTCCCCAGGGATGGATTTGCTGTAGCCGTGGAAATGGCACGTGAGCCAAATGGCTGGATGTGGTCAGGAATGGGAGGGCACACCCTGGGCATGCACAGCTGCAGCAGCCTGGCTCCCTCCTCATCCTCGCCCCCGAGCAGGGCCCTGGCGCCTGGGCTGTGGCTGCAGGCATCCCCTGGTACCCTATGGCATGTCGGTTCTGCCAGGCCGCACGTGTGCACATATGTGCGTGCATGGGGGCATGCAAGCGTGCAGATGTGCAGCTGAGCAAGCGCGTGCGTGCAAGCGTGTCCATGAGCGTGTGTGCACAGCAGCGGGAGTGTGTGGGCACGCCGGCCAGTGGTGGGGCGGGTGCGTGCATGGGGCAGGTTGCCGAAGGGCTGTGCACCGCGGCAGGGCCGGTACTGTACAGCAGTCGAGAGCTGCAGGCAGGGCCCCTGTGCACTCCCTGCCTGCGGCCACCGGGCAGCTTGGCCGGTGCAGGAGCAGCCCTGCAGCAGGGGAGCAGCCTCCAGCTCTGCTCCTGGAAAGGATCATCCCCCAGGAATGCACAGGGCAGACCTAGGCTGCAGCCTGTGAGTGTTCCGCTCTGCCGCCGGCATGTTGTGCCAGCCCAGCCAGCCTTGGTGCCGTGCCTCAGTTTCCCCATCTCTGCTGTGCTTGTTGATTCCCGGGCCGGTGGGCAAGAACTGTGCTGGTGTTCCCACACTTGCCTGGGGGCCGGTGCCCTGCCCAGCATGTGGCCATTGTGACTGGCCCTGCTGTGCTGGGGATGCCCGTGAGGCAGCCCGGGGGAGGGCTGCGATTTGCACCATCTTGAGCAGATTTGAGCAGGGCGCTGGAGCGGAAAATGTTGACATTTCCCAGGCAGACGTTGGGGATCAACCTCCTGCGCGAGCTGTCTGCTCGCATCGCCGCTCCCCGCCGGGGGATCGCAGGCGGCAGCTCTGTGGGGCACGTGGCGGCTGGAGTGTGCTCCCCAGTGGGGATGTGTCTGCCTCTCAGCTGGGGGTCCTGGTGATGGGGGGCAGAGGGGATCACTGTCCCACCGCCCGCCTGTCGGGCACCAGGCAGCAGCAGGGGGCCGGCAGGTCACGCTGGGGTCTGCAGTCCATTCCCGGGCTCCAGTGACACCGGGGTGGCCCCGGGGATGGGATGGGGATGCTGTGCGTGACCAGGGCGCGGAGCAGTGGGGTAGCGGGCGCACGCGCAGAGGATGCCGCTGCTGGGAGCAGCAAGTAGGTCAGCTCCGGGCTGCTTTCCAGCAGTGAGCCTCCTGGTTTGGCCCGTCCCAGGGAAAGCAGAGCACAGTGTGTCACGGCGGGGCCGGTGACGGTGGGCCCCACGGCAAGGCCCAACGCCGGGCAGGGGCACTGCTGCCATCTGGCAGCCTGGACCCCCCTGCACCAGCGCCTGCAGTTGTGCTGCGGC